GCACAGTCAGAACCTAGATCAGTACCTGCTGCTCAGCAAACTCTCAATAAAGATCTGTCTTCTGCATGGCTTTAGGCTGGAACAGGGCAAATGATGAAGGGAAAAGGGAAACAGATTCTATGTGTTACTGCCTGTAAGGGAGTAGGACGAAAATCAGAGACGGAATCACAAAGAGGCCTTTCATTGTGATCAAAGCCTAGCAGTGGCAAAAGCCCTACCCCGATTAAGCAAGCACATCTGAGAGTCAAGTGAAAAGCCCAGGGCTGGATGTTCTAGAAGCTTAATAACATGACCACACTGATGATGCCCCCCTTCCCCTGCCTCCCAACACCTCAGATGCAGCTGACATTTTCTTTAATCACATCAGAAAAATAAACGATGTCACCATGGCAGCCCTCTTAAAATAGCAAAGAAGCAAGCCCATCCAAAATGGGCCACATTCAGGATTACATAAGTCTTGACGCTTTGGGCAAACAAACAAAAAAAATCACATTTTCAGATTCTGGCTGGGACACAGTGAACTGATGGAAAAAGCACTCAGCAGAGAGACAGGGAAATTGGATTCTAGGTTCAGCTTTGCTACTAAATCTCTGTCCTTGGGCAAGTCATTCCCCTGCTCTGGGCCTTATTTTCTGCATGTATAAAATGAATGTGTTATCCTACAAGAAACAGAGGCAACCTTCCAGTCCTCAAATCAAAAATCGCATGGTCTACTCAAGGGCCATCTCTAGCAGCCCTCCCTGCTGCCCCTTCAAGGTCACTCTTTTCTGGCCATCAATGCAAATTCTGCCTTTCCTCCTTATTCCCTCAGTGTGGCCTCTCCACACAGAAAAATCTGTTCTCTAATGTCTTACCAACTTGAAGCTGTGGCTTATATTGAGGCACTTCTCAAAACTCCCCTTGTTTGGACATGGGCATGTTTGCGAGTATACCTTGTTCTTCCTATACAGAGCACAAACACCTTAGGGAAAGACAGCAAGCATTTTCTATTCCCACACACACAACCAGCACAGCACTGGGCACATGACAGAAGTTCTATCAGGACTTCTCAACCTTATTGCAGAAGAGTGAAGTTTGCATTACTTTTATTACACTTAAATTTTCCAAACCCCACGGGACCAACTCAGCCAGCAACTAGCTACTAAGTCCATCCTTTCTTGTTAAGGGATACCTTACTGTAGGTTTCCAGGATTGATTTACCTGATTACCCACCAGCTCTGAATACCTTCAATAGGTAAATGCCTGTTTCACTAGGACTTTTAAAGTTACACTGACTGTCAAAACGATGAGCAATTTCTTTCTTGGGTTTTCACTCCAAAACCTATAGATACCTTCTATGGGGATACAATGAGACTGACCGGTACATAAGTGCAAAATAGCTGATCCTTGAACAATGCAGAGATTAGGTGAACCAATCTCCTAGCAGTTGAAAATCCAAGTATAACTTTTGACTCTCCAAAAACTTAACTCCTGGCTTTACTTGTAACATAAACAAATGATTAACAGAGATTTTGTATGTTACATGTTTTACATACCTGTATTCTTAAAGGAAGCTAGAGAAAAGAAAATGTTATTAAGACATTCATAAGGAACATATATTTACTACTCATTAAATGGAAATGGATCATTGTAAAGGAGGAGGAGAAAAAGAAGGATTGGCCTTGTTGTCTCAATGGTGACAGAGAAAATAAAACCTCTGCTTTTAAGTAGAACTGCACAGTTCAAATCTGAGTCGTTTAAGGGTCAAGGGTATTTTCAATTCAAACAACCTCCTCTGCTATGAGTATATGGATGAGTATATGTATGCTATGACTTCTGCAATCTGGTTGATTCAGCCTATAGATGGCCTCAGGGCAGAAGCATCCTTTGGATATTTTAACTTGAAAGAAAGGACTTTAAAATTTGAAAGGAAAAATCCAAAAGTAAAAGAAGCTTATGTGAATTTTAAATAATAGATGTTTGCTTTTTTAAAACCAAATCTACTACCTATGTTTCAAAGGGTCCCCGGAGTTTAAGTCAATTGTGAATGAGATGGTTAACAACCTACTTTCTCTCACAGATGGGCCTACAGAGCTCATGTGGAAGTGTCTGGCAGGGGAGCACAGCTCCTGGTATAGTCCTCGGCAAAATATGTTCTTCCCTTATCTGAAAGGCCAACTCTTTGATGGAAGGCACGGCTCTCTGAGGGAGTGGTGAGGAGGGAAGACACACCCACCGCCCAGCCAGGCAGATGCAGGCAAATCAACCCAGTATTAAGGGTGTGACAGGTGGGTAGCTCCCTCTGCATCCCCATTCAGATGGCAGGGGTGGGGGTGGGAGGCCAGAGGCTGCAGACACTGAGGTCGCTGTCCACAGTCCTGCTCTGGGACCAAGAGCTCCAGTGTCCTCCCTGGAAACAGGACTCTTTCAGTCCCCTTTTGTGTACAGAAAGAATGATTACTTGAGGCCTGAATACAGAAACTGATGAGACTGGCCCAAATGAACATTAAAAAAAAAAAAATGAAGATGTTGTTTATGTTTAAAAGCTTAAGGCAATTTCACTGCACTTTTATTTAAAAACAGTTTTCTTTTTTTAGAATATCAGTGCTTTTTCCTGTTAGTCTGAAAATGACATAAGAAAATCACCTCATGGCCAGGCACGGTGGCTCACCCATGTAATCCCAACGCTTTGGGAGGCGGAGGCCAATAGATTACCTGAGGTCAAGCCTTCGAGACCAGCCTGGCCAACATGGCAAAACCCCGTCTCTACTTAAAATACAAAAAATTATCTGGGCACAGTGTTGGGAGCTTGTAATCCCAGCTACTTGGGAGGCTGAGGCAGGAGAATTGCTTGAACCCGGGAGGCAGAGGTTGTTGTGAATGGAGATCGCACCATTGCACTTTAGCCTGAGTGACAAAGCGAGACTCTGTCTCAAGAAAAGTCAACTCGTAATTTATCCTCAGGGATACTCACAAAAATGTGAACAAAGATGTACAAGGATAATAACCAAGGCACTATTTTTAATACTAGAAAAATGGAATAAAACTATGTATTCATCAATAACAAAATGGTTAAATGGAATATGACGCATCCATACCATGGAATGCTATACAACAGTCAAAATGAGTAGTATAGTTCTGTATTTAGTAAATGAAAGATGCCTGAAACCTATTATAGTAAAAACAAAAACAATTCAGCGTGCAAGTGGCAGGACAGTATGTGTCACAATTTCATTTAGAAAAATGTAATCGGTGTGTGTACAATTGTAGACACCAATCTCAACTCTTTGCAAGTGGGACATCTACAGCATTTAACAGTGGCTGTCTCTGAAGGATAAGATAGGATGTGCTTGGAAAGGCTATTTTTGTACATATAATTCTGTCTATTCAAGTTTTTCCTTTTTAACACATATTAGTTTTTTAACTGGTGCTCAGGCAACGGCCTTGGATTAACCACAACATGTAACTGATCCATGCATGGCCCACTTTTATTGAGTCAGTTATTTTTAATAATTAGGCATTCAGGAACCCATCACTCCAGGCAACTACTACCCCAGGTCTCATATTTATTATTACTTGTGTAATTAATAAGTAAAATACAACAAATAAATAAGTTCAAAAAGTTGATTTGGTTGCCTTTTAAACTCACCGTTCTTGAATCAAGCAAAGATTGTTAAACTTAACTCTGGGTCTTTCTTTGTGCATAGAGTAACTCCATCTGCCCTTTCTTCAACAGCATGGCGTAGGTCACCCTTGTGCCCAGTAATGGGTGAAGACACTAACTTCCCACCAGGAAACACCAGAAACCAAAAGGGAAACATTTTTAATTAGAGATTATTTCCCCAGGAGCAAAGTAAGTCAGAGGCTGATTCAAATCCATCCTAACTACGTAATTTAAAAAAATGTCTCACCTGAACAAAAAACGTCTAGGCTTCCCCTCAAGGTAGAATATAAGCATTTAGGTGATAGCAATGATCTCCTTAATCTATGGAATGTCTCAGGAAGTTTTAATTATTACATTTTAAGAGACAACACAAAATAGAAGAGTGCCAGAGGGCAAAGAAAAGATGAAATTAAATCAATCTCTATAAGATAACTCAAATTATTTGGAAACCTGCCTTTTAGGTAGGATGTTTTACTCTATCAATTTTAACGTCTTTTGATTCCATGAATTTCTGAGTCTCTATTTAAAATGAAATCTGACGTTCTGCATTTGGGAAATACACTGACTTGTTATGTATACTTTTCTAGTTTGGGTTAAATCTATACTTACTGATAAGGAAGTGCTTCTCCAAGTATGATGATTTCTCAAGCAATAGCTTGTATAATCTATAACTTGTGAAAACCAATCTCAGCTCTTTGCAAGTGGCCAAAACTTAATCCGATATACATCATTTTCCAAAAAGTTAAGTCTCAAACTAAAATCATAGAAGTACAGCAATATCAGAAAGTCTTCCTTCTGAGTTTCCTAAAGTCTGCTTCTCCCAAATATCAATTAAACTAAATGGATTATCAGCTACTAACAATTAACCTGGGAAGATAATACAAAATGGCAAATAAACCAAACTTATTTATACTGGAGGAATATTTTTGTATGTAAGACAGTATCTTGCATCACTGACTTTATAATATGGAGACTGTCAAGAGGAAACAGGTCACTCAGCTCATCCTTTCTGCATTCCCATTCAACTCACCCCTGCACACCATTTGGTGCTAGGAATGGATCCCACCATGGGTAGGCTGTGCTACTCTTCTCTCTAAAAACATTATCTGTGGTTTACAAATTCCCATTGGAGAAGGAAGTGGATATTTGACTTCAATGTTGCTAGGCGGCAGACCATGCACACAGAACATAAATGACATCAAAGCCTTGTACCTCTTGATTCAACTATATCAATAAGAAATGCAGTCAAGGCACCTGCAAAAAGCAAAACTCAAACTTGCTTAGCATTTGCTTGTAAGGGGGATTGGGAGCGCTGCTTAAAGCAATGGGCTTAGCATCCCCTGTCAGCAACACTTACTCTTCTTTCCTAAGAAGCTCCTCCTCAGATTCCGTCAGGCGTTGCCTCAATGCTGCTATCATTTCCACCGCCACGTCCACCTGTCTGTTCAGGGCCCGCTCTCGTCTCTGAACTTCCTGCTTTTTCTGAGTCAGCTGCACAAAAGCTGCCCGAACTTCCAACAGTTCCGCAGTTTTCTGGGCCAACTCTTTGGTGAGTTTATCGATTCTCTTCTCAATGGTCCTATCCACAGCCTCAACCATCTGATTGAACTTTTCTCTGACATGTGCCTCGAAAGAAGCTTTGGTGTCTGAGGTGGGCAGTCCAGGACCCGACCGTGGCCCATCCAGCGAGTCTGCACGGAGGTCCATGGCAGTGTAGGTGTGCACATAGGACACAGGCCTCTCTGCCACCACCTCAAATGGCTTCCTGTCCTTGGAATGTTCATGTGAAATGCTGTACAAGTTAACATAGCTCGGTTTCTGCTTTACCACGTTGCCACTGCTCTGCAACTTTCCCGGTCTCAGGAGTTCTGAGGAAGTGACTAGGTCTGTGTCTTTGAGGGATGGAAAGAGACTGCATTTTGTCAAGAGGGTTCTTTCTTCGTAGCTGTGACTGAACTCCAGATGGGCCCTCAAGGATGACAAGCTTCTAAATCTGGTATGGTCTCCACACCTCGGGCAGCGGAATGGCAGGCACACAGCAACATTCTCAAAGGACTCCTGCCAGGGATATCTGCTTTCCTCAAAAGCCTTCTGTTGCATTACTCTAAAAGTCCTGGGAGGGGGGAAATAGGTAGTTTACTTGTCTGCTGAAAAACACACTATTAAAATGACTGCTACACATCTCCATGATAGCAGAGGAAATTCAAGTGACTTTTGCACACAATATTTTATGTTGCAATTAAAACCTATAGCCCAGGGGCCAAATCCATCTATATCAATTTCTGTATTATTTACAATGGCAGTGGGGAGTAGCTGAGACAGAGACTCTATACCCCAAAATGCTAAAATATTTACTACCTTTACAGAAAAAGTTTGCCAACTCCTACCTAGAATCAAAAAGGTGGGTAACATTCCCTCTTCACAGATGAGAACACTGGAGCAAGGAGGTCAGGCCCTTAATCCAAGGTCAGATGGGAAGTGGTAGATCCACACGTGGAATTCCAGTTTCCTGCCCTCCTGAATTTGGCACACTAAATGCAAAACTGCACGCCATTCTAAGGATACAATCCGAGACGCGTGAACACCGACAAACAATATGAAAACTCACATGAATTATCAAAATAGGTCCTAAGACAGCAAGCTTAGGACCTTTCCTCAAGTACAAGAAAGATGATTCAAGCTATGCACAGTGACAATAAGCCTGCAATCAGCGGAAATTTTTTCACCCTGAGATTTTTGCCTTTTTTTCCTTCAGGTATTGCTGTGATGACATAAACCAAAGTACTTATCGTAACAATAATCGACCCCATCCGTGAGTTTTACTGAAACCCGGGGACCCAATGTATCAAATACCATTTGACCTAAGTGGGCCACGGCCAAGATTTTTATTCTAATAGTGTTCCGGGTGGATGTGTCTTGTGTCAACCCTATTTTATATGACAGCCTCTAGGGATGGTCAATGTCTGAACCAGGTAGGTATCCGCATAACTCTCTTAATAACAGGAAGTTCTGATTTCCTTGTAGGAATTTATTATCTTCACCCTAGCAACAGATGACTGTTAGCAACCCAATTCTGCAGGCAGTGCCTATCTATTCCTCCATGAATGGTTTCTACTTAAATGTAACAAGCATTGGACCCGAAACGAGGAAGCCCAACTGGTGTCTTTGGGTGAAAAGTGCCTCGACCTCTTCAAAAGCAGACTGGCAGATGGTCCCCAGACAGGAGGCCTAGACAGTGGCAAGGCTTCTAGGTGAAGCCTCCGGCCCCCAGAGAGGGGAACCTCTTCCTGCGGGGATGTTTAACCATTGGTTTTCTGGGAACCACATGCAAACCCTGGCTCAGCTCAGAGCCAAAGACGCTGGCAAGAGATAGAGAAAGGGGAAGTCAGAATTCTAGGGGGGCAATGGGAAAGGGGTGGCATTTTGGATGGGGAAATGGGTAATCACACACTTCAGAACACAGGCTTTTATGGGCCCAGCGGAAACCCCAGTCCAAGCGGCTGTCAGAAGAGCCCTAACTGACTGGCTGCCGGAGCCGGGCAGGCTGGCAATGACCCTGCCTCGGGGTCTCAGCTCTCCCTGCCTCCGCTCCGCTGCGTGCCAGCCCACGGGTACCAGAGTGGATTAGTGCGCACGCGAGTTCCTGCAAGTGGGGGCCGGGAAGCCGGCTCTCCGAGCTCCCCGCCACGCTGCGGGCTCGGGAACCCCAGCCCCAGCCCCGGCTGCCCCGGCCACCCCAGCCGGTCCCCTCTGCCGAGCCGCGGGCGCACATGGCCGGCGGCCGCCTCTTACCCGACTTGTTGCTGCTACTGCAGCCGCCGCCGCCGCCGGTGCCGATGCTGCGGGAGCGAAGCGGTTTTCAGCAGAGCCGTAAATCAGGCTGAGCCGGGCCGGCTCCCACCCCCCGCCGCACCTCCGCGCCAGGACCCGCCGCGTCCAGGGCGGAGCGAGGCGCTGCCAGCCAGCGGGGGCGGCGCTCGCGGGCACCTGGGGCACCGCGCCGGCGGTGCGGGGGTGCCGGAACGCCCCAGGGCTGCCACCTCCGCGGGGGACACCCTTGCTCTGCCCGGCTAGCGGGAGCACCATCTGCCCCGCGCTACCCAGCCGGGAGCCCGAGCCGACTGCGGATTACACTGACATCACCGCGAGAGATGCGGGGACCGTTCCCCGGGGGAGGGAAGGGAAGACGCGTGTCAGCCTCGCAGGCGCGGCGCTTTCTGCAGGCCCTGGCAAGCTTTTTTGCACTTAGTTTTTTGGTGGGGAGCAGGAGAGTGTGGATGAGGATGAAGTATCTTCTTTTAAATCTGCCTGTTGGAAGGTCAGGGTATCTAATTAGGACCTCTTCATCCCAAGCAGCTGGGCGAGAATGTCCCAAAATAACTAACCCAGAGAGTACACTCCAGTCTTCCTAGCCAAGTGTCCTGAGGCTGCGTTAACAGGCAGAGATAAATCTAGTAAAGTGCAGAGGTTATGAACAGTTAGAGCAACACGATCCCTCACCTGCACCCCCATTTCTGAGGAGGGCGCCCTCTTTCCCTGGAGAAAAGGTTTGCCGTCCTAAAGAGAGGATGTCCTAAAGAGAAGACGGCAAATCATTCCTTCTGAAGGACCCTGATGTTTCAGCTTGCTGGGCTTGCTTTTTTTTTAAAAAAAAAAAAAAAAAACGAAAAAAAAAAAAACTTGTTTTGGTTTACCCTACTCTAACTCCTGAAATGTGAAACCAAGATAAAAGTTACTATCGGTTTTCTTGTCAAAAGAGATTCTGTTCCTTTGTAGACAGTTACTGCATCCTCTTGACTCTTCGGGGTGTCTTTTCTCGGGGCTTACTCATTTCAACACCTGATTTTATTTTAACTGTAAAGAGCTCAATAGTTGAGATTTTGTTTTGTTTTCGACAAATGAATTCCTTTGTTTTTCACAAGTGAATTATCACATCAAATGCAATGAAGATCCCAAGCTCTGGTAATAAGACTTGATTCAAACCCTGGCTCTGGGACCTGGGTCAAGTAACTAGGCTTTTCTGTTCCTTCGATTCCTCATCTAGGAAATGAAGGTAATCAGAACCTACCTCTTAATAGGGCGATGGACTGAACGCACTCATGATGATGGAGGTGAAAATGCTGCCTGATCCGGACACACGCTGATAAAGTAAGCTATTATCGTTGTTGTTACTTCATTTATAATTATTATTATTTCCGTAAGAAAGGGGCCTACACACTTTTAAAAACCAGGAAGGAGAAGAGGAACTAATATGTACCAACATCCACATAAATGGAGATAGGCAGTTGTGCTGGGATGTGTTTGCTTTGAAAATATTATATTTCCTTGAAGTTACTTTTTGACTCGTTCTCAAGACTATATTTATTCCAACAATCAATTTATTTAGTAAAAAATTTTAAAGTCTGAAAGATACGCACATTGGAGTGCCAGGTTATCTCAGTCATCTTGGGAGGCACCTGCAGGTCAACCTCTCACACCCACTGCCTTCATGGCAAAACACAACAAAATCATGTTCTGGAGAGGAAAAGGTTTCGGGTTCTCACTCC